GGTCATTCCAGGACCGTCAAATTTGTGTGAGACGCTAGCAGTGTCTTAGGTGATGTCAACAGGCAGTAAGAAGTGTACATGACACCTTAACTGCAAGCAGATAACCGCAAGCCAACCATTAACACTCACAAACAAAGCTTGCATGCGTGCGTAAGTGGCGATCAACAAGTGCGGGCAGTTGAGAGAGCAAGACGGCTACACGTGTTCGCAATTGCACTATATATAGCACGTTGTACACACTTAACACGCTCTTAAACTATCTCGATTAACATACAAGGTTAGCCGAGTTTCGTTTGATTTACGCTCGTTCTCGGGAATGGCCGGTTTCGACACACCGCTAACCGACTCGAACCGCAAAGCACGTGGAACGTCTACAAGCATATATACTCTTTCGCTTCTCACAAAACCATGTAGGCGTAGCCAAAGGCAGGTTACTTAACGAAATATTATATACCAATGACAGAATCCTTATAAATTAGATTATTGTATTAGCGCAACTATCATTGATAAAAAAGTATACATAGGCTTAAAAAAGGTTCGTACGTAATTCACTTGTTATTTCTCGAGTTAAGCAAAAACGCACGTCGACTTTAGCGTAAAATATGCCCCCACCAATAGCATTCCCGCGAAAATTCGAACATATCGACGGACGTGCGTTTCGTTTGTTTTGAGAACTATTACTAATCACTTCAAGAATAGTACCCGAAACGCATACAATTACAGGGATTCTTTCGGAATATTCCGACAGAAAAGTATACAGTCAGCGGCAAAAATTTTAGAGGCCACGAGACCCAATAAAAGACCGCATATTAACGAAGGATTGGCTGGAACCTTTGTATTTATATTTTTATAGCCTGATTTAAAACTCGCCAAAAACATGTCGTGTGCAGTTCGACTGAATACGGAGACACAAATTGGAGGGAAATTCATTTTTTTTTTCAGGCGTATAGCAATCTGTAAACTTCCTACGCCAACTGCACCTAGAACTTCCTGTTCAGAGAGTGCTTTATGATATGCTCAAGATGCCTACACAAGATTATGAGATGATCTGAAAAAAAAAAAAAAAACGAAGCACAGCAAAAGGGATGGCACAACGATGAGATGAAAATAAACAGCTTCGAAACTTGTACACCAGCGAAGGAAAGAGTCATGTCAACAGGTTACGGTTGATTCACGACTAAGACTGCCTGAATGCTATTTAGTAAAAGATGAAAAAAAAAAGTTGAAGGTAATATCTGAGCGCCAGAAATGAGAATGAACACAGCTTCGATCACTTGCGCACAGAATGTGTCGCGCGAAATTAACAACACTGTTTTAAGCATTCTCGCAGCTGTTGAGTTTGCTGCAGGTTCACTTGGGAAACGCTTCTCGGGATGACGGTCCACGACGAACGACTTCCTGCATCGACAGGTCGTAGCGATGAGCTCCAACGTACCGCACACAACTTGGGAAAACTGCAACGATAGAAAATGGTTTTCAAGTCAGCGCACAGGCAAGGAAATACTAGTACTGCAAGGCTATTTGATTTCGGAAACAGTAGCAGTTCTCTGAAATAGCTGTAACTGGAGAAAATAGATATAACTTTCAAAAAAGCTTATAACACGTTATCTCTAACGTTATAACTAACAACACTGTCATCGAGCTGCAAGACATCAAGATAGATTAATCGGATTCCGTGTTCTGAAAGGACAATAACGGCCATCTTTGTTGGGTAACCGTTCACAGGTGCTGCTAAAATGCACGAAAACGTCCTCCCCACTTGGATCGCCATTCATCTGGTGCGCATGCGCGCTGAATGCACACTTCCCCGCAGTGAAGCGTAGGCAAACTTACTTTCCAACATTGCAGTCACAGATAATTGATTGTGCGTTATGCTTTTCTCTCTTTCAGTTTGCTATGCGAACGATCGTGCACAGTGTGAAGTGTGAGAGAAACGGCCCAATAAGGCAAACCAACTTACTTAGCCGCATCTCCTGGGGTTATGTATGTAACATTGAGAGCCTCAAACAACCTTGCTGAAAAAAAAAAATGGCCGTGAACTACATAGCCAGAAAATGGGGACCACTTTCAACGCACGAGGAATGCCATGACGTTTAGGCATTTTACTCTAGTGCTCTCCGTTTTCCGCAGCAAGTTGTATTCTTTCCCCTTTCTATTCGTCCTATCGATGACATAGTCGGCACTAGAATGCTAGCTTCAGTGCATCTTACTTCATGGTAAGTGCCGGAAATCACGATACACAACGATTATGTTAAATGCGTTAACAGACATTCAGAGGGTATATTTAAAAAACATAAAAGGAATGAAGCAAAATGCAGTTTAGGTATATATACCGGCCGGTGTGAGTTTGTTTCTTAAGCTCCTTGAAAGAAAAGCCTGCTGGGCTATAACGTTGCACCAGAGTGTCCGAGAAAGTCAGCTGGCTCTCACATACCACTTCTACAGTGAACTTAATTTCTGCCTGCCTAAACTGTAAATCGGTGCGCCCTGTTTCCCAAAGGAGGTACTTTGTCGGCTCTCTCATTTGACGGGCGGAAAAGGTATGCACGACTGGGGAAGACGACGCATTGGACAATGCACTGGTACGGTAGAAGCTGACGTGATGTGGGCACCCAGAGTACCTAATTGACTCAGTAGGGCACCAGATGGCGACGCCGATGAATGCACCGTGTAAGTAACCGGGCTTGCTACACCTACACAGCCTCACAACAAACATTTTTGTCCCGAACAGGCCGGCATCGAGGTTTTTTAGCGGTTTCTGCATCGCGATGAATATTCTCGCTTACTTTTTGTTGCACTCGGTTCTCTTTCTGCATAGTATTTACCTCTGAGGTATACCTGTATATAAAGTATACTGAATACAACGAGCGAAAGTACACACTGGACTCCACGTGTACGTCTTTCGTAAGAAGGTGCAGCGCAAAGCGCGTTCCACGGACGCGGCATTCTTTTCTGCGGTGCGAGCGCAAAAGCGAACGAATTCGAAACAAAATCGCAACCCAGGCGGCTGAACGTCATCGTCGAGCCAGTGACGAGACCGACGGCCCCGCACGCTATAGATCACGCACCAACGCGCATTTCTGCGGCCACGACTGTCACGCACCTACACAGCGGACGCAACCACGTCAGCGTGCGTTCTGCGTCGCTGCGTTCCTTCACAGAGTCACGCGTCCACAGAACGCAGAATATATATATATATATATATATATATATATATATATATATATATATATATATATATATATATATATATATATATATATATATATTGTGCGCTACGTTGGTGTTAAAAACAAAGCCCCGGTTTGCGTGTGGGGCGACGTGAGAGTAAGACGAGAAGGGAGAAGGGTTGTGGCTGCGTTGATTGATCTGGCGCAGTTGGCCACGTGACTGAGATAAACTACAGCAGCGTGGTCTGGAATCAAAGGGACACTAAAGAGCTGAAAACGCTTTTTTTTTTTATTCGCATCAGGAAATCACTTTCCGAATACTGAAAGCACCGCCGATGCCCCGAGACGGCGGGTGCCCGTTAAAGAACCCCAGGTGGTCAAAGTTTCTGGAGCCCTCCAATAAGGCGTCTCTCATAATCGTATGGTGGTTTTGGGACGTCGAACCCCACATATCTATCTCGAGAAGGCGTTTGGTGAACGATAAAACGCGCGAGAAAGAAATTGCGGCTGGCGACGCCTTCATGACGTTTCCACTTTATCTTGTGGTCAATTCAGAAATCTTCAAGAAGGCTGCTAGGTCATATCTAATCCTTTGTCGCTTAAAAATATATTTACGTTGTGTTTCAATGTATAAACATTCTTGAAACAGCGATGTTTGGTAAATTTCGTTAAACCAATGTTCTAACCAATAAACTGTCGCTAACCAATAAACTGTCCTATAGAACCTCAGACTATAACTAGATCCTGACTCGATGTGAACGAACAAAAGGGGGGGGGGGTTGTATTGATCGAGTGCTTGTTTCTTTTGTGAGAAACAACCTTATGAAAACCAATGGGCAATGAGAGCAAAGGCAACACTGCAAAGTAACCGATGAGGGATTACATTGCGTTTCCTAAAACTAAATAGACGGGACTCTGGCACTACCGTCGTTCAGCGACCATGGCAATGATGGGTAGTGCACGGATCTGTTTAGTTTTCGCGCTTGCGTACTTCGAGCGCACTTGTGGCTTTGATTATTGCTGTATTTTGATTTTGATTTGAGTAAAAAAAAACGGTTGTGAACTTCAAGAGCCGATTTGAAATGGTGAGCCGGAAAGGTTGAGGTAGTGAAGTGCAAGAGCTGAGCATTTGCTGATTTCCGTTTCGTGACTAAGCAGCTGGAAGCCATGTGAAGCCAAGCGGAACCGAAAGTACGAAGGTTACACAAATCCACGTAGTACCCATCATTCTCATGCTCGCTGAAGCGCCGTGCCTTGCAGCTCCCATACACAACCAGAGTTCCCTGTAGTGTACCTATAACTCTATAGTAAGCTATATAGAAGATTACGCAACCATAGAGTTTCTCAAAATTAACCAGAGGGCACTCTGGCGCTGCGATCGTTCAGTGACCATGGGAATGATGGGTAGTACACACATTTGCCTAGTCTTCGTACTTGCTGGCAGCGAATCGTACTTGCGGCTTCGTTTATTGCTGTGTTTCGGTTTTGTTGTCAAAGAAAAATTCATCCCTTTTGAACTTGAAGACACAATGTGGAAAGGTAATTCGAAAAAAAAAATGGTGGTGAAGCGCAATCGCTGAACATTTGCTGATTTTTGTTTCGTGAAAAAAAAAAAACAGCTTCAAGCCACACGAACACACACGGAGCCAAAAGCAGGCCAGAAGTACGAAGTTTAGACAAATCTGCGTACTACCCATCATTCCCATGCTCGCTGAAGCGCCGTGCATTGCAGCTCCCATAGACACTAGCGCCAGAGTTCCCTCTAGTGTAGATACAGTAAACTCTATGGAACATTACGCAACGACGCGCGTTCGCGCCACGCACCTGCTGTGGCGAGGTGACGCGTGGTCAGTAGACCATGACCTCGCACAGGACGGCCGCGTAGAGACGGCCCTTGCGGTTGTGCACGCCGCTGGCCTTGAGGTAGACGTATCGGCCCTCCATGTCGTCGGGGCACTCGAAGTGCAGCCGCCGCCGAGACAGGGCCCCGTGCAGCCGAGACACCGAGGCGCACTTGTACGCGTTGGGGATCTCCTCCAGTCGCGGGCGGTCCACCACGTACGCCGTCAGCTTGTCCAGGTTGGACATCTCGTGGTACAGCTTGCTACGCTCTGCGCCCGGGGAGAGAGAGGGTATCCATCCACGAGTCGAAAGCAAATAGGTTTTCCCTTTTTTTTCTTCTTTCTTTATCTCTTATGTTCTTATCAGTAATCTTGTCTTTATCTTATTTTTCCCGTGCTTTATAAGGCTTGTCCAACAGAATGTAAGTGGTTACTCAGGGAAGCACACCAAGCTGAAAGTCCGAAGCGCCACCATCACGAGCAAATATAATCTAAACGTTGCTATTGTGAGTGACTGCCTACACTCTTATGACAAACCATAACACTGGTGTATTGGTTCATGAAAACACCCTTATCGTAAGGTGTTAGTAATAGACACGGCCAAGCATCCTTAAGGTTGCAAACTGGTTTACTATCTATCTATCTATCTATCTATCTATCTATCTATCTATCTATCTATCTATCTATCTATCTATCTATCTATCTATCTATCTATCTATCTATCTATCTATCTATCTATCTATCTATCTATCTATCTATCTATCTATCTATCTATCTATCTATCTATCTATCTATCTATCTATCTATCTATCTAACCTAATCTATACATAATATATCTATCCTAATCCACAGAGTCGCCACTGACCGTGCTGTTGCTTGGCCTGCCAGGTGAGCACGACGAGCCCCCGCACCCGCTGCCTCTTGGCCAGGTCGACCATCCAGACGGGCTGGTCGACGAAGTAGTTGTCCAGGATGGCGCAGCTGCGCGGGGGCTGCGACGTGCTCGCGTCGCCGTCCACGGCGAACGACGAGTGGCCGTCGGTCCACTGGGCGAACGCGTACCGCCGGTCGTTCACCCACGTCTCGCGGCGGTAGGCCAGGTTCTCGGCTGCGGGAATCGCAAAGGCGTAGTATATTAAGGATTTCCATGACGAGTCTACTGGACGCTCGAGCTTCGCCTTCAGCCATACTTTACTACAAGTCCCTCCACACACACACACAAAAAAGAAACAATACAAATGAGTGACGAGAAAGAAGGGAAAACATCCACCTAACGCTTTTTGAGCATGGCCAAAAAACACGGCTGATCGGTAGTGGAGGTTCCCACGAACACGTGAGCCAAACAATATAGAGCAGCACGGGACCTACAATTCACAATAAATTATCAAAGTCAGCTAAAAATTACTTTCTCGTCTCTCGACAAGTGACGGAGGACACTAAAGATTACTCGTAGAAAGCCATATATCACGGTAGTTATAGCACGAGAACAGAACGAAGACACAGAGACAAGAAGGACACGAAGGACACATTGGCCGATTTGAGCATGGCGCCTCGCGCTCGGTCGTCACAGGGATCGTCGCAAGAGGCCGCGACTGGTCCACGCGCACGCGCGCAAGAAGCGCGCAAGGTCACGAGGCACGCGTGTCGTATTTTTTTTTTTTTTTTTTTTGCCCTTGCAATCCCTCCCTGCCTAGCATCCAGTGCTTTTGTGGGGACGAGAAAGAGGCAATGCCTTTGTAGCGTGCGACAAGTCTTAGTAACTCCGCTCGTACTGGACGGATTCTTAAAATAGTTGCTGCGTTGAACTCGTGAGGCAATAAGCTTTTTTTATAGTTAATCCATTCTATGGTTACTTGAAAAAGATTGTTGGAGATCCTTTAAGGATGTCATAGTTGAAATCAAGAATAAGAAATGGACATGGGCTGGGCTCGTAGCGCATAGGCCGTATAACCACTGATCATTAGGGCTAACTGACTGGCGTATACCAGAGAAGGCAAACGCATGAGAGGCAGACAGAAAGTTAGGTAAGCTCATGAGATTTAAATGTTCGCAGGTATAACGTGGCAGCAGAAAGCACAGAACCGAGTTGACTGGCGAACGTAAGAGAGGCCTTTTCGCTGCAGTAGGCGTAGTCAGGCTGCTGCTGCTGCTGCTGCTGCTGCTGCTGCTGCTGCTGCTGATGATGATGATGATGATGATGATGGTGGTGGTGGTGGTGGTGGTGGTGGTGGCGATGATGACGATGATGATGATAATAACGACGAAGATGATGGAGAGAGAGAGGGAGAGGTTTACTTACAGAAAGGCAGAGAGGTCGACATGAGCGATAGCCTGCTCTAGCCTGCTAATCTACACTGGGAGAAGGAAAGGGGAGAAGAAATGCTAATGGATGACGATAGTGAGATAGAGAGGTCAGCATATAGAATTCTTTCTAGCTGAGAAAAGTTTTATAGCCGCGCATATAGCCCAGTTGCTTCCAAAAATGCTAAAACCACTCTTATGGTCACAGTTGCACTGTAGGTATCTGCCCAAGGGCCCAGCAAGGTCTCATAAGTTAATGACCTACTGCGATATCGTTCAGTAGAAGAAACCAGAGTTTGTCGTTCACGTGCGTATGCTGGGCAGACACAAAATATGTGCTCAAGCGTTTCTGGCACATCACAGTGTTCACAGTTAGGACCGGTGTCACTGCGACCGATGATATGTGCGTAACGTCTTGTGTACACCACACCAAAACGAATGCGGTGGATCGTACTTGCGATGTGCCGTTTCAATTTCGGGGGCACGCGGAACCTCGTTTCCGGGTCCCATTTGTGAAGTCGCCGGTGTCGCCGTTCCGGTTTGGTCCAGTGCTGAAGTGTGTGCGCAGCGAAGCAGGGCGTTCGTGTCAACCCGTGAAAACGCAATGCGTACTTCGGGGGCACTGCTTAGGGCATTTTTAGCTTCAGCGTCTGCCTCTTTGTTTCCCATCATGCCGCGATGCGTGGGATTTCAGATTTCAGATATTTTATTGATACCAATACAAGAATGTGACATGTGTTTACTATACAAAAGGAGGTCCCAAAGTCAAAGACTGTATCGGGAATCCACTGGAAAGTGATAAGATGGCCATTTGTTGAAGCAACCTGAATAAGTTCTGCAATTTCCATTGCCAAAACGTAATACGGATCTTGCCTCATGATTCAAATAGTGGTTTGCAAAGCGGGTTCGGCATTACAGAAAATCGTCCGGTCTCGAGGTTGCTTTCCCGAAATAAATCTTATTGACTCCCGGATAGCGACAAGCTCTGCGGCAGTTGATGTGGTTTTATCGTCCACTTTGAATCGCCGAGCGATATCCACGTCTGGGATGACAAAGGCTGCGGCGGAGGTGGTTAGTGTGGTGGACTCGTCGGTGTACACGTGCAGAGAATCGTCGTAAGTTGTATAAATGTGATGTAGGGTCGGTTGTTTGAGGCCAACAGAAGAAACGAGTGACTTCTTCGTAATTCGAGGTGTCGTGAGACAAACAGGTGGTTTAGGCAGGACCCATGGAGGCACTGCAGGAACATTCGGTGGGAAAAGACCTTGATGGTAGAATACTCTCATGCCGTGATATCACTCTTGAGAAACTTCACTCTGGGTGAGTGGCGGGTAGTACTGACAGTGGGTGCTGTCTGTGTCTGCTCAGCAGTCGGAGGTGAACTCTAAAGTGGCTCGCAGAGGATGTATACACCGATGGGACATGCCCGAGCCTCTGCAATGGTCCCATTTGTTGAAGTACAGTGCGGTAGACCCATGCATCTTCGTAAGCATTGAGCTTGAACACTCCCTAGCATCTTCACACAACTAGGTCTCATATTGGAGAGCACCGGCATGCTGTGTCGCACGTATCCCACAAATAGAACAATGTACAATTGAAACAGCGATGATTCTGATGTGCTCCATCTTGCTCCTGCCACGTGGCGAAGAATGAGAGCAAAGCTCTTCAATTTATATTTAAGTACTCAGACGTGACTCGTCCACGATAGATCTCTGTGTACGACAACCCCAAGAAACTTGTGGTGCGTTACAGCAGGTATCGCTGTCCCATTAATAAATATCGGGTATTGCGACATATGCTTGCGCGTGAACGCAAGCACTGCGCGTTTGTCGATTGGTCGCATTTGTCGCATTGGTCGCACTGCGCATTTGTCGATTGTCGATTGGAGTGGTCTCAAACCATCTTCTTCAGGATATTCATTGAATTCCTCATTTTGAAGCATTCCTTTGGCGTTGCGTCGTGGGCGCCTGAGCAGTTTTGGCATTTGACCTCAGCAATGCAGTTATCACCATCACGAAGAGCACCGCAATGCTTGCAGGTTACTGCACCCTTCGAACTGTGCTAACGTGCCCAAAGTTCATGCATTTATGACATTGCAGAGGTTTTGAGTCGTAAAGACGTACCGAGTGCCTCACGTACCCATGTGGGTAACGTCTCCTACTGAAACCATCCAAAGCGGTGGAAAGCAAGCACGGGAGCCGACGAGGACAGCAGTTTTTTTTAGAGTAGAGTATGCTATCTCTTCCTTCACATCGTATATAACTCCTGTTGTCGTTCCTTTTTTTTGTCGTAGGTGGAGAATGCGCGAACCGGAATGTTTCCTAACTGAACCATCGCTTTCAGCGTGTCCAGTAGGGCCTTCGTAGTGACCTCCACGGACAGGATGTTTTTTCGAGTATTTATGCGTATTTCTACGACTTTCCCTGGGGCAATGAGCTCAATGTGCTCCGACAGGCGCTACCTACTCAGTGTGTTCAAGATGCCAGTCTTTGGTGTCGGCATATACGAAATGATGCACGACCGCATGCTACTGGCTTTTGTCTGTGCTTGCCGGCCAGTCGGCGATGTCCGGCTGATTTTGCTCTTCAGGAGTCGGATTGGTACGACCACGTAGTCGCTGTCCGAAGCCATATATTCAGCGGAGGTGTCATCAGAAGTTTCAAAGTGGACCACGCTTGGGCCAAGGTGAGAACGTGCGTCAGACGCACTATGATGTGGTCGGCCCGGTTCCGGTTGCTGGAGGGGCTTTTGGTCCCCCATTCTAAGGGAGAACGTCCCTCCGAGTTGTGTCGACTATTGAAAAATCTTGGCAAAAGGATTGGAAAACTCGCAGAGCTCGAAGCAGAGGCTGTTCTCTATGCTCACTTCTTCTTCCTGCTCAGTGATGATGGAAAAACAATGCTCTGGCGAGGACGCGTGATGTACAGTTGAGCGAACTTCAATCGACCCCAGGGGAAAATTCGTTAAAGTGAAATTTCGGTGAACGGAAATAGCTATGTTGGAATATATCAAAAACTGACGAAAACATGAGCTGTCCATGCGAAATTCGAACCATTTTGTTTGCAATGATGCTTATTTGAATGTGAATTTTCACTTATTGGGCATGTTTTGATGAATGTAGCAACCTTTCGGTGCACTTATACACTCAGGGCTGCCATGGTCATGAATCGAGTCACCCTGTTCAAGCTCACATAACGACATCCGGTGCAACAATTCTGAGCAACGAAGAACCATCTTTTTTCAAATACATCTGGGCTTATATAGCTGAAATTCTTGTTGCTTCCTCTACAATGGTTACTTCTTCCCGAGGTTGGACACTCGCTACAATCTCTCCTGCAGACAGAGTGGCGGAAGTCTCGACATGAGAATCAGAGGCGGCATAATCCTCAGAACGCAAGGCGCTGTCTCTATCAAGTCTTTCAGACAATTTCTGATCAATATGACGTGAGTGGCATTGGATAGTGTCACAAAATACGTTCGTAGAAGCGAAATGTTTTCTGCCCTAATTTGGATATGCTGAAACACGTGAGCGCTGGGAACACGGGTGCTTCCGCGGGTGATTTTGAAAAACCTTAGGCCTGCGCGGAAGGCGCAGCACAGTCACAGCGAAAGCTTACTTGCTTGCTTGGTTGGTCCCAAGAGGAATGGCTCAACCCACTGCGGGGGATCGGCCATGAATCGCGCGGCAGTGGGTTACAAAATAAACAAAATACAGTAAAGTATATGAAATAGACTAACGACGAAAATAAGTAATGAGTATGTACTTATGAGATTAGCATGCGTGGTAGCCGGTTTGATTCTTTTACA